CGAGGGCCTCTCCTCCCTTGAACCAGGAACCGACCCACCAACCACTGACTAACCACCTGTCTGGCCTTCTGAGAATAAGTCCACCCGCCCATGGTTTCTGGACTCAAACCTCTGGGTTCCCCATCCGAAAACGCTGCCACCTCAGGGTCCCCTCCGACTCCTGGAGCTCAGGAGATTGTGCAGCCGTCTCAATCCCCTGCAGCCCACCCCTCATTCCGCTCCTTGGGCTCAAAAAGAGATTTGGGAAGCCTCTCCTTTTTCCTCTCACTTGAGTCCTGGACACAATGGGTAATACTGAATCTGTCACCAAGTCAGATGGCCCAGGGCCTTCACCAAATTAGGACTCATTCAGGACCTCCGCTGCAAGCAAGCCGCTGATATTCTGTCCCACTGTGGCCTGGCTACAATAGCTTTGGATAATGGGTCTAAATGGACTCCTGAGGGGACTTTTGATTACAATACCCTCACTGATTTGGATTAACTACTGCCGAAGCCCTCTCTCCCAGTGCGACCCCCCCCCCCAGCATTCCCCACCATAGCATACCCCGGTTCCACTTTTTGGCACCGCCAGTCCCAGCCACTCCTCCGCCTTCACCACAGCCTCCTCCATCCCCTCCTCATGCATCTCCAGTAAGTTCACATACCCGCTCACACTCTCACCCTTCTCCCACCCCTTCCCCCAGTTCTAACCTTCTCTATCCTCTCCAAGAAGTGGTGGGAATGGAGGATATTGTCAGGGTCCACGTTCCCTTCTCTCTCCAAGATCTATCTCAAGTAGAAAAAAGATTCGGTTCTCTGCTAACCCCACAGCTTTTATCAGAGTTCTGCCATCTTACTCAGGCCTATCATTTTACTTGGCATGACCTCTATGTAATCCTGTCCTCCACCCTTACTCCAGATGAGAGACAGTAAGTTCAGGCTGCAGCCCAAGAACATGCCCACAAAGCCCGCCTGGTCAACCCAACTTTACCAGTTGGACAAGCAGATGTTCCTATTATTGACCCTCACTGGGACTATCAGGTAGGAGACTCTGGCCCAAGAAACAGAGACTATATGATCCTGTCTCCTGGCGGGAATACACGCTATCTCTAACTTAATTTTCAATTTTGACAAACTCTAGGAAATCAGCCAGGGGGCAGATAAAAACCTAGCTGTGTTCCTCAGTCACCTTACAGAGGCCTTAACCCTTTATACATGATTAAATCCCACTTCACCGGCTGGGGCCATGGTTTTGGGATTTCACTTTTTTACCCAGTCAGCGCCTGATATCCATAAAAAACTTAAATGGGCAGAGAATGGCCCTCAGACCCCTGTTGGTGATCTGGTGAAAATGGCATTTAAGGTTTACAATGCCTGGGAGAAAGTGGCTGAGGCTGAACACCAGGCCCACCTTCACCACAACATGGTACTCCAAACCCAGGCCCTGGTAGCAGCCCTGAGGCCAGTAGCCCCACAGGGGCACAAGAATGGGGCTTCCTCATTTAAGTCCATTCCCCTGGGACCATGCTTCAAGTGCAGGAACACAGGCCACTGGGCTTGACAATGTCCTTGCCCCTGACCACCCACCAATCCATGCCCCGAGTGTAAACAACCTGGTCATTGGAGAAGTGACTGCCCAATGGCCAACTCATCCCCGGCGACTCCACATGGGAGATGAGTCAGCCAGGCAGTTCTCTTGGGAGCTGTTGGGGCTAGCTGCCGACTGAAGAGGCCTGGACTCGAAGACCCCCAAAACCCTTGCCAAGCCCAGGGTAATGCTACAGGTAGAGGGTAAGTCCATCTCCTTTCTGTGGACACGAAGGCTACCTACTCCGTCCGCCCTCCCATTTGGGGCCACTTTTTCCTTCTCAGATCTTGATCATGAGAATAGATGGCACACCCTCCTGCCCACCTAGGACAGGAACCCTAGCCTGCCATATAGATGGATGACCTTTCTCCCACTCCTTCCTAGTTATGCCCCCTCTTGGGCAGAGACATTCTTCACCAATTGGGAGCCACCCTCCAACTTCTGGCTGCACCCCTGCCCCTCACTTTCTCCTCCCTCTCATCTGCTCATCCATTGACTCTGATCTCTCTGGCCTCCCCTCCTTTCCTCTTCCCCCTGAAGAAGTTAACCCTGTTGTCTGGGACACTTCTGAACCAGATGTGGCCTCCCACCATACTCTAATTCTTATTTGCCTGAAGGACCCCACCAAGTTTCCCTCCTGACCCCAATTCCCTATCTCTGGAACACACCACAAGGGCCATAAGCCTATTATCACCCGACTTCTTGCTCACAGACTCCTCATTCCTACACACGCTCCATGCAAAGCTCCTATCCTCCCAGTCCGCAAGCCATCAGGGGCCTGCAGCCTAGTTCAGGACCTCTGCCTCATCAATGAGGTAATGGGAACCAGCAGTTAGCATAATGGTTATGTCACTGGACTCCCACATAGTCGACAGCGGTTTGCGTCCCGGAGCCGGTGGCTTAAAACTCATGCCAGGCACGTGTGCGTTCGTGCCCAAGATCCCGAGAGGAAAATGGAGGAGAAGGGATTGCGGCGTGACCATCCCCCCCGGGGGGTGATTTCTTGCTTTCTGTCTCTCTGTCTCTCTCTGTCTGTCTGGCGAGCACACACGCCCTATAGCGAAAACCTCCCCAAAAAAAAAAAAGAGGTAGTTATTCCTCTCCATCCGGTTGTCCCCAACCCATACACCCTCCTATCCCACATCCCACCAAACACCATTCACTTCAAAGTCCTTGACCTCAAGGATGCCTTTTTCACTGTCCCCCTCCACCCAGACTCCTACTTCCTGTTTGCTTTCACCTGGGAGGACCTTGATTCACACTCTGCCCAACAGCTTGCCTGGACAGTCCTCCCCAAGGACTTCCAAGACAGCCCCCACCTTTTTGGGCAGGCTCTTACTCGAGACTTTGCATCTTGCCCACTTCCCCCCAGCATCCTCTTACTGTATGTAGCCAATCTCCTCCTGGGCTAATACAACCCAGATCTAGCCTGTCATCAGACCTGCACTGCACTTGGATCTAACCCGGATGTGGCACATGGCGCTCTACTCTGCACACGGCACCAGATCTTATATGGCACAGCAGTCTGCTCTCCCTCTAAGACACTCCCCCTCCCTATACCTTTATAAAAATGGCTAAACCCCGCCTTAGGGCACAACTTCTCTGGCCCCCTCTCTTTCTCTGTTAGACCAGCAAACCTCACCCAGAAGTGCTCCCAATAAAGGCTCTACATTTCTATTTATTCACGTGGTCAACCCATTCCGTATAGTGTTTATGCCCAAAATCCTGAGAGGAGAATAGAGGAGAAGGGGTTGTGGTATGGTCATCCCCCTAGAGAATGCTTTCTCACTTCCCCTCCTTCTCTCTCTGGCAAGTGCACATGCCCTATTGTATAATAAAAACAAAACAAAATAAAGCAGGGCTTGAGACAAGGGTTTGATTACTGCTTGCTTATTGGGGAGGTGACTCAAGTAAGCAACTACGTGGTTCAAGTCCCAGAACCGCGTGACTTGAAAAACATGCTGAACTCATGTAGGTGCATGCCCAGAACTCAGAGGAGGAACTGTGCCTCCCTTGGGGGGTGATATCTCACTTTTTCTCTTCTCTCTCCAACAAGTGCATGGGTCCTATAGCAAATTACAAAACAAAACAAAGAGGTAGGGCCTCTAGTGTGTGATTAACTCATGAGGGTGTCACACTCATGATGAGATTAGTGCCCTTATAAAAGAAAAAGCAAGTGAAGGACAAACTATCTGGTCAAGTCAGCCCTCTGTGCAAGTGGATTCTCCTTCCCCACTGCCTCTTTTCCCTGGTCTTCCCATTGGTCCTCCAGAGTTTCAGGGTACCTGGTGCTGATCGTGCTCCTTTGTCCTGCCCGTTGGAATCCTGTTGCGGAGTGTGGGGTTGGGAAGCTCCAGTCTCACCATGTTTATTAGGAAGATACGATTTTAAAAAGGAATATGTCTATATGTCAACTGCCTCACATAAACTAGAATGATGAAAAAATGCTCGAATAAGCAACTTCCAGCTGCCTTTGTAATTGCAACCATTTCCCTCCAGACAGGAGGAAATCCTCTGAGGGCTTATTGCTGCTCAGGGAGGAATTAGCCCCTCCAGGCCACTTCAGATGTTCAAACTGTGGTCTACAGGGACACAGCTTCCAGCCCTGGTGGCTAATTCAGGCAGTTACTCTAATTGATATTTGGAGGAAAGACTCAGAAATAAAAGCAGGAACTACAGACAGCACCCACAAGGGTGGGAGCTCAGTAATTTCCCCTTGTTTATTAGCATGATTTCCCTTTTGCTTCTGCAATGACTGGCAGATGTCTATTTTAGAATGCCAAGAGGAACTAGACTCACTTCCAGGTCAGACTTGGGGCATATATAGAGAGAAAATCCCCTAAGGATGAGGTGGGCAATGGCAGCAAATGAAGAAGATAAAAGGGGGGGAAGGGGTAGAGATGCTCCAGAAGAAAAGTTTGGCATGGGGACCCCAGGAAGAGGCACGCTGCTGGTGGAAGAACGGCTTCCAGGCTGAACAGCCAGGAGGAAACAGACTCAGGAGCATGGGAGGGAGGAGAAAGGGAGCTGCAGTCTGGCAGAGGAGTGAGTGTGGAGCACAAGGAGATGGTGGAAACAAGAGGAGCTGTACAGGTGCTGGGGCTTGGGGAAATGAAAGGATCAAGACTGTGGGAACTGCGGGAAGGGAATGTACCCGAAGTCGGGGCGGTAATCAGCAGGGACATGAGTGGGAGGACGAGGGCCTGAGCCAAGGGCCAAATTCCCCAATGAATCCTAAGTGTGTGGAGGTGGTGGGCAAGTGACCTGGAGGCCAAGGGAAGTGCAGGTGAAGTTGTCTGAGTATTGAAGGATGAGAAGAAAAAAGTATAAAGAACAAATGGAAATCATCTATAACACCAAAAATAACACAACAAATATATCTATAGCTACATACTGTATTGCCAACCTCTACATAATAGACAGAAAGACTCTCTAAAAGGAAAATGATAATATTTATTCAGGAATGAAAATCAGTAAACTATGAGTATATTGAGGGAAGTTACGAGGAACCAATGGTTTTTGGGGCCGGCAGGTGGCAAGGTGGTCAAGGCAGATGGACTCCTTCATGGCTGACCGCAGTTCAAGTCTAGGACGTGGCAGCTTGCTTTCTCACTTTCCTTCTTTCTCTGTTTCTCTCCAGTCAACTTCAATAAAATAAAATAAAATAAAATAAAATAAAATAAAATAAAATAAAATAAAATAAAGTAATTCTTAAAAAAAAAAAGAGAGAGAGAGCAAAACCAAGGGTTTTTTTTAAAATTTGCTAGAGGGCACATGTGCTCACTAGGGAATGAGCAAGATAGAGAGAGAAAGCACCCTCCACCCCGCTAATAAGGAATGGTCAGAAGACCACTGGGATAATTTTTTTTTTTTTTGGGGGGGGAGAGGTGTTTGCTATAGGGTGCGGTGGCCCGCGCTGCAGAGAGAGACAGAAAGACAGAAAGTGGAAAATCACCCCCTGGGAGGATGGCCACACTGCCTCCGTTCTCCTCTCGGGATCTTGGGCACGCACGCACACGCGCCCCGCGTAAGTTTTAAGCCACTGGGTCCGGATCACGAACCACGGTTGACTACGTGGGAGTCCCGCGACATAGCCATTATGCTAATTGCTGGTCCCAGATATTTAAAAAAAATTTTTTTTCTCCGAGAGGAGAATGGAGGAGAAAGGATTGTGGCATGACCATCCCCCCGGGGGGTGATTTCTCGCTTCCTGTCTCTATATCTCTCTCTGTCTGTCTGGTGAGCGCACTCGCCCTATAGCGAAAACCTCTCCAAAAAATAATTTTTTTTTCAAGAACTATTTCATTAACTTTATTTATTTATTTTAATTTGAACAGAGAGGGACTGAATGAGAGAGAACAAGAGAAAGGGAAAGTGAGAAATCAAGCCACCAGGTCTAGGACTAGAACCACAGTTGACCATGTGGGAATCTAGCACCCTTAACCACCATGCCATCTGCTGGTCCCAAGACCAGTGAGATTTTGAACAAGCACAAACACACACCTGGCATGTTTCTTGAGCACCAGGTCCAGGACTCAAAACTATGTAGTTAGCCAAGTGGGATCCAGCTGCCTTAACCACCAGGCCATAGGCTGGCCCCACAAGGGTTTTATAAGACAAATGAGGTTGGGACCAGCAAATAGCATAATAGTTATGCTGCTGGATTCCCAAGTAGTTGACTACAGTTCGTAGTCCTGGACCTGGTGGCCTAAACCTCCCACCAGGTGCATTCGCATGCGTGTCCAAAATCCAGAGAGAAAGGATAGCAGTGTGGCCATTCCCCCTGGGAGTGAAGCTTTCTCACTTACTTTCTCTCTGGTGAGTGCATAAGCCCTCTATCAAAATTCTCTCTTTAAACAAACAAAACCCAAAAGACAAATCAGGTGGGATTACATAAATTGTTTTGGGACAATTATTCTTGGCTACCAGGATCAATAACAGGGTGATGTCAGTTCAGGGTTGGACAGGTAGTTTCTGGGCAGAGTCCCTCAAGATTTTTTTCTGTTAGGTTGCAGTGGCCTTTGTGCAAGGTCCTAGTCCTGGCAGAGTACCTGTCATCAAGCACAGGGTGTAAGAACAGCCTCCTTCACTGCCAGCCAGGACCCATGTATTTATCTACTTGTTCGAGTTTCACACAAGGGACTCCATTTTGATTCTGGCAACTTGCACAATGTGTATCTGGGTGCTGATTTTAACAATATTGGGATCATACTGTATTTTGGTTAAGATAAATTTGGTCTAAAGCTGCCTTTGCAACTGCAACATAATTTAGGAGTGTAAACATTTGAGAAAAAGCATTTATAATGGCTCTTGTCAGTTCCCAGAGCATATTTACTTTTATAATCCTGGGGATTCCATTTCCAGTATCAAGGTCCATTATCCAAAGGTTCATTGGTGCATATGAAATCATAACCAAAACGTGTGCGGGGGGAGGGGCGGGGCACCCGTACCAACAACCAGGTTACTGGGACCCTGAGGCCCCCTTTCCGGAGGGGGCGGGATGGGGGAGGGGATCTTCATAAGCCCAAAAGGCCAAGAGTGAGCACCGGGGCCTAAGTTCTAGGCATGTTAGAGGTTTCGCCTCGGCCTGCCCGGGGTCTGGCAGCGTTAAGCCAGTGAAGTCGCTCTTTGAAGAGGCTGGGAGCACTCGGGAACCCGAGGCTCGGTTCCGGCCTACAGCCCAAGAGGGCTGCCCGGCGGGGGCGGTGGAGGGAAGAGGTTGCGGGAGGGCTGGGAGGTTGAGCCGGGGCCAAGTGGGCGGGGCTGGCGTGGCGCCTCAGCCCTGGCGCGAGGCGGCAGTCGGAGCAGTTTGCGGGGCACTCTGCCCTTCTGGACTGGGGCTGAGGGTGAGGGTGAGGGTCCCACTTACCCAAAGCTCTGGCCTCGGGTTCTTACTGGTCATGCCCGGAACGTCTGGCTTGGCTGGAAACCCCTCAGCCGGCATTCGCCCTCAACCAAAATGGCGCGGGAGGCCTCAGGCGAGTCACGTGATCTCCGCCCCGCCCCGCCCCGTCCCTCCCGGGCACGTTTTGAGCGCCGCTCAGAGCTGGGTGTCAGTCCACAGAGGTGCGGGGCGGCAGAACAGGGACATGGCCCGGCAGCCGGCGGGGACCTGGGCAGTGGTCTGCCCGCTGCTTTGGGGCTGCGCGCTGGCGTTGCAGGGAGGGATGCTGTACCCCCGGGAGAGCCCTTCGCGGGAGCGCAAGGAGCTGGACGGCCTCTGGAGCTTCCGCGCCGACTTCTCCGACAACCGGCGCCTGGGCTTCGAGCAGCAGTGGTACCAGCGGCCCCTGCGGGAGGTGCGGCCGCCAGGGGGGACAGGCACCGAGGTCCCAGAAGCCAGGCGGTGGGAGTGGGGAGCCCAGCGCCCCGCCAGCTCCTTCTCCTGTGCCCTCCGGAGCTGCCTACCCGCCGAGAGAAACCAAAGACGAATGGGCTTAGAGGCAGGGGGCTGGAGACCGGGAGGGGATAGGAGAGAACGGGGAAGTGGGTCTGAGATGGGTTTGTTTGCGCCGTCCACTCCTCCCCCACCAAGGCGGGAGAAGGGCCGTGCAAGCCCCCGCGGAAGTGGAAGCCCTACCCGAGCAGAGTCTGCGGAGCCCAGAACGGGTGTGTGTGTGAGTGGGGTGGCCTGGATATTTTGGGGCTACCCTTGTAAAGGCAAGTAGAACCTTGGTTTAGATGGAGGTCGGGACTTGGTACCCAGCCAGTGGAGCACTCCACTCCAGTTCTGTCCTCCTGACTGGGGGTTTCTGTGCTCTTCCGGCGCTTGCCCCTCCTAGATCCTCTATTTTTGGATTTTGCCGCTCAGCACTCAGCCGCCCAGCGTTCAGCCGAGGAGGAAGAGAGCAGGGGGCTGGGTGCCAGCACGTGTCCCCGCAGTTTCCCCCGCGGAGGAGCCTTGCCCCTGTCAGCCTTGCGCTGTGGGCGCTCACTTGATCACAGTCAGTCAGTTGATCACCCGTTGGTCTGGGTCTGGTCTTCTTGCCTCTTGCTGGGTTGTGACCCTGGGCTCTTTTCCATGGAGATCTTGGCCCCCCCAGTGGCTTCCACTCTGGTAAAGAACTTCTGGTCCCATCAACCCTGTCTCAGACCGTCCTAGCAATTGAGCTGTCATCAGCAAGTACTCTGCCCTTTTGGCCAATATTTATAGTCTGGGCTTGGACGAGGCACTGGGGTTACACCTGTGAAGGACATTGGTTCTAGATTCCTGGGGGTTCTGGCCTTGACTCTGCCCTTCTTTCCCCAGTCTGGCCCCACTCTGGACATGCCAGTCCCTTCCAGCTTCAATGACGTGGGCCAGGACATGCAGCTGCGTAGCTTCATCGGCTGGGTGTGGTACGATCGAGAGGTGACCCTGCCCCAGCGATGGACCCAGGACCTGTTCACTAGAGTGGTGCTGCGAATTGGCAGTGCCCACTACTACGCCATTGTGGTCAGTGCCGTGAGCAGCAGCGGGGCGACGGACTGTGCATGAAGCTGCTTGGGGGCTCGGCTCCCAGCCCTCACTTACCCTGGGTGGAGGGAGCGGGACTTCATCTCCTTGACACCACTGCTCTTCCCATCAGGCTGGCCAGGCAGGTGGCAACTGGCAGGCCCCTCAGCCCCCATGCGTACCTTTTATGAGGGAGTGCCTGTGTAGGCCGGGCTCCCTCCTCATGCCCTGGCCTGCTGTGCCTCCCCATGTCTCCCTGTGTCTGCAGTGGGTGAACGGTGTCCATGTGGTAGAGCATGAGGGAGGCCACCTCCCGTTTGAGGCTGACATCAGCAAGCTGGTCCAGAGTGGGCCCCTGTCCTCCTGCCGCATAACCATTGCCATCAACAACACGCTCTCCCCCAACACCCTGCCACCAGGGAACATCGTCTATAAGACAGATACCTCCAAGTGAGCAGCATCTTGCCCCCCTGTTCCCCGCTCCCCGCTCCCTATCCTGCCCAGTGGTTTTCCTTACCAGAGTTGAGGCCCTGGATCTGGGGAGGTCGGGGAGAACTGCGGTCAGAGGATTCCAGGTAAGGCCCTGATTGGCTATTGTCCTCCTCCCACTAGGTATCCCAAGGGTTACTTTGTCCAGGACACAACATTTGACTTCTTCAACTACGCGGGACTGCATCGACCCGTGCTCCTCTACACCACGCCCACCACCTACATTGATGACATCACCATCAACACTGGTGTGGACCAAGACACTGGTGAGGGCTGCTGGCAGGCCCAAAGTAGCTTTGTTTCCTGTTTGGAAAGATCATCTCTGCCCAGAGAAAGGGTCTCTCAGGAACCCTACAGGTTCCTATCTACCTCAGAAGCTAAAATCCACACTGTCTGAACTAGCAAGGGTATCAGCAGTCAGCCATCTGGTTGACCTCGCTTTGCGAGGAAATGAGACTGGTGAGAAGTGGGTTTAGAATCCTGTGTCCTTTCCTCAGTGCTGCCCTCATGAAATCTCCCCTTGCTGCACACTAAGCCCAAGGAATAAGCCTATGCTTGCTTAGGGCTTAAGTGGCCCCTTCTGAGTGGTAGCTACAGGGTGCCCCATCTCTATGACCTGTGCCATGTCCCTCCTTCAGCCCTGATCCCTCGTTTCTTGCAGGGATTGTGAATTACCAGATTTTTGTCCAGGGCAGCGAACACTTTCAGCTGGAAGTGCGTCTTCTAGATGAGGAAGGCAAAGTTGTGGCTGAAGGAACAGGGGGCCGAGGTCAGCTGCAGGTGCCCGGAGCCCACCTCTGGTGGCCATACCTGATGCATGAGCACCCTGCTTACCTATACTCATTGGAGGTAATGGTCTAGAACTGGGGCTAAGGGAGACCTTTGCCCAGAGCTGTAGCATCATGCGTCTGCAGCACCACCTGCAGGTGATGGGCCCTTTGTCCTGGCTCTGGCTTCATACCAGGACAGGTGGGCAGGCAGGCACAGTTCTCTGAGCTTTCTCATTTTTTTCACCTTTAGTGTGTGTTTGGGGGGGGGGGCAGTTTTCAAGAACAGGCCCCAGCAGCAGAGCAAGAGAAGGTTCCTCCTTGCTAATGATGTCTATATCTTTGTCTGTGGGCCCAGAGGTGGACCATTGTGGTATAAAAGGATCTTTCTAGCTGGAGGGTGGTGGTTGTGGGGGCATGCCTAAGGCCATTGGGGTGCTCATGCCAGGTGCTTTTGCTCTCCCAGGTGAGGCTGACTACACAGACAGCAGCTGGGTTTCTGTCTAGGGCAGGCACCTTTCCTTGGGCTTTCTCATTTTTTTCCCCTTTAGGGTTGTTTTGGGGGGGGGGGCAGTTTTCAAGAACAGGCCCCAGCAGCAGAGCAAGAGAAGGTTCCTCCTTGCTAATGATGTCTATATCTTTGTCTGTGGGCCCAGAGGTGGACCATTGTGGTATAAAAGGATCTTTCTAGCTGGAGGGTGGTGGTTGTGGGGGCATGCCTAAGGCCATTGGGGTGCTCATGCCAGGTGCTTTTGCTCTCCCAGGTGAGGCTGACTACACAGACAGCAGCTGGGTTTCTGTCTGACTTCTACACTCTCCCTGTTGGGATTCGTACTGTGGCTGTTACAGAGAGCCAGTTCCTCATCAATGGGAAGCCTTTTTATTTCCATGGGGTCAACAAGCATGAGGATGCAGATGTGAGTTGGGGACTTGGGTCCCTGTGGGGGCTGGTTTTTGTCCTTATCATCTCCTGTTACCTTCCCTGTGTGTCTTGAAGCAGTTGAGGGCAGCCTGCAGCAGTTGGAGCAAACGGCTCAAAACTACACTATAGTGAGGCGTACACTTGGGCCATAGAGGCCCATAGGCTCTCAGGGTCCAGGCTCTAGAAGGAAGTGGTTTTTAGCAGGGACAGGGTACAGAAGGTCACTCTGCTCTTCCTGCCCCAGATTCGAGGGAAGGGCTTTGACTGGCCACTACTGGTGAAGGACTTTAACCTGCTTCGCTGGCTTGGTGCCAATGCCTTCCGCACAAGCCACTACCCCTATGCGGAGGAGGTGATGCAGCTCTGTGACCGCTATGGGATCGTTGTCATTGACGAGAGTCCCGGCGTGGGCATCGTGCTGCCGTGAGTGTCCACCACCCACACCGTTCGGCCTGCCCAGCGTGGCGGGCCGTGATGTGACCTCCGTTCCCCCCTCGCCCACAGCCAGAGCTATAGCAACATATCTCTGCAGCACCACCTGCAGGTGATGGAGGAGCTGGTGCGCAGAGACAAGAATCACCCCGCCGTTGTGATGTGGTCTGTGGCCAACGAGCCCACTTCCTTCCTGAAACCTGCTGGCTACTACTTCAAGTGAGTGCTGCTGCCTCCCAGGGCTGAGGCCCAGCTCAGCCTTGGCTGGCCGCTGGGAGAGGAGTGAGGTTGGCCTTGGCTGGGGTGGACTTGAGGGCACAACCATACCTGGCCAGTTCAAGGGACCCAATATTTGCCCATCCAAATTGTAGTTTTCAACCCAGCAAGACCCGATGTCTCCTTTTCCCACCTGAAATGGAATCCAGAGCTAAGATAACTTGTTTGTACATATAACTTTAAAACATAAGAAAGGGAGAGGGTGGTCCCATAGCCTGGTGGTTAAGGGAGCAGGATCCACACGGCCAACTGTGTGGATTAAATGCTGGACCTCACAGCTGGAAAAACATTGACTGTGTGTGTGTCTGCCCAGATCCTAACAGGATAGAGAAATGGAGGAGAAGGAATTGCAGAGCTACCATGCCTCATTGAGGGCTGCTCTCTCCTTCATCTCCCTCTCTGGTGAGTGCGCATACCTTGTGGCAGTTAAATCAAAGCTCGCGACAGGACCTGCCCGTAGAGAAATGGAGGAGAAGGAATTGCAGAGCTACCATGCCCCATTGAGGGCTGCTCTCTCCTTCTTCATCTCCCTCTCTGGTGAGTGCGCATACCTTGTGGCAGTTAAATCAAAGCTCGCGACAGGCCCTGCCTGTGTGTCCAGGAGAGCCATCTGTAAACTACTACTTGGATGCATGGACTAGAATCCCTTGAAGACTGGCTGTAGGGGTCTGATGCTTGCACCCAGCTGTGGGTGGCTCTGAAAGCACAGCTCTGGAAACAGCCTGCCAGGGGCACCATGTTGTGACTAACCCCACCAGCAGCATGTTCTTCAGTGCCCTGCACTTCTAGAAGGGCAGCTGTTCTAGGTAAAGTTCCAAACAAATGCAAATACGAACTTCTTTCCATTTTTATGCTATCTACATTCCTGGGAAATTTAGCTTGTGTTAAACGAAAATCCCTTTTGGGTTCATCTGTAAAGCAGAGTTAGGCTTTAAACCAGTTTTATAAAACTGGTTTATCTACACGTAACTTTAAGCAAGTTTTCCAGTCACGTGCATGTGCTGAACATTCTAAAGCTATATTGCTGGACAGGATCAAGCCATCTAAAATTCATGCTTTCGTTCATGAGAAGCCAGTCACTCCCCCACCCCAGTCATTGCAAGGAATAGAATGCCACTTAGGGGCAGTCTCCCTGCGATGGCAGGGCCGTGTTGCTGAGGGAGGCTGGTCCCCAAGAAGCGTTCCTTTTCACAGTCATGTAGCGTAACCTCGTCTTCAGAGATGAATGATTTCCCTAGCTGTGGAGCAGCAGAGGCCAGGGACACACTCCTCAAGGCGTACACTACCTCCCAGGTCCATGAAGCACTTTGAGCTGAGCTAGGTCTGGTGGTCTGTCGAGAGTACAAGGCTCTGAGAAGTGACCCCCAGTCAGGGTACAGGACCATCTGGACATGCACAGCCCCGTAGCTCATGGAATGCAGGGGTGTGTTGAGCCAGGGCCAGCTGGATAGGACTTTTGTTGTGAGGATGAAGCATGTAGACTCCCAGCAATGGATGCCTGAGGCTTTCAGACAGCATTTTGGGAAGATGGAGAAAGGGAGAGGTGTTTTGGGGACAGCAGAGATGGGGCAGGATCTGGATAGACCTGCTCGACCTGCAGTGGCTCAGTCAGCCTTCACCAAGGCTTTGAAGCTTCCAGTTGATGGGCTATTTCAGAGTGTGGGTTTGGAACCTGAGGCTATGGGGGTGTTCCACAACCCTCAGGTGAAAAAAACAACAGTAGGGGGACCAGCAGTTAGTGTAATGGCTATGTCGCTGGACTCCCACATAGTCGACTGCAGTTCACATCCCAGACCCGGTGGCTTAAAACTCATGCCGGGTGCGTGTGTGTGCGTGCCCAAGATCCCGAGAGGAGAATGGAGGAGAAGGGATTGTGGTGTGGCCATCCCCCCTGGGGGGTGATTTCTCGCTTTCTGTCTCTCTATCTCTCTCTGTCTGGCAAGCGCACGCGCCCTATGGCAAAAACCTCTCCAAAAAAAAAAAAAAAGCAACAGTAGGGAGAAGGTTTGAGATAAGGTGTAAAGGAAAAGAAAAGTAACTATGTGGAAAGACAAAACAGGCTTAAACAAAAATCAGCACCATGGTGGGGGGTGGCTGGGACAAGCCCCTGGGAACCCTAACCCCAGGCTGGTCCCTCTGTGGGTGCCTCTTTTCACTCCGCCTTAATTTCACTCGTAGAAATATTGTTTCTTTGGGACCAGCAGATGGCATAATGGTTACGGCACTGGACTCCCACGTAGTTGACCACAGTTCGAGTCCCAGGCCCAGTGACTTAAAACTCACACCAGGTGCGTGTGCATGCATGTACATGTGTGCGCCCAAAATCTCAAGAGGAGAATGGAGAAAGGATTGCATGGCTACTTCCCCTAGGGGATGATTTCTCAATTTCTGTCTGGTGAGTGCATGTGCCCTATAGTAAAAATACCTCTCTAAAAAAAGAAATGCTGTTTCTTATGTTTTGGCTTTTTTTTTTTTTTTTTTTGAGAGTTTTTTTTGTTATAGGGTGCATCACCTCGCCAGAGAGAAAGCAAGAAATCACCCCCCCCCAGGGAGGATGGCCATGCTGCAATCCCTTTTCCTCCAATCTCCTCTCAGGATCTTGGGCACGCACGCACACGTGCTTGGTGTGAGTTCAGGCCAGCAGGTCCGGGACTCAACCCGTGGTCAACTACATGGGAGTCCAGCGACATAGCCATTATGCCAACTGCTGGTCCCAGAAATGCTGTTTCTTTAGAGAGTCTGTCCCTGACTATCCCACTTAATTTGTGCCCTTTGCATTATTTCAGAGCCTGGCACTTCCCTTTCATAATCCCCACCAATTTGTCATTCCAGTTCGTGACTTTAACCGTGCGTCTCTCTGAATCCATCGGTCCATGAGGCGGTGGACTTGGCCACTTAAGCCCCTCTGTACACCTAGCACATAGTCCAGGGCCCGTCCCCTTGCTCACACTCCCCGGTTATCTATTACATTGATAACTATCCTGTCCTGATCTGCACCCCAGCCTTCCCTATTTTCAAGAGCTTTTTCAGAGATCCAGACCCTAGTTTTCGGCAGCATCTGGCCCAAGGACGTGCCACTCTGTGTGCTGCTCTCGCTGTCTGACCTCTCAGGGGTGGGTAGGATTTGGGAAGGGAGCAAGCGATGTCAGGGAACATGATGTAAGACCAGGGAAGCGGGAGTTCTATGTTTGCTCTGGCTGGGGCAGAGCAAGTGAGAGCCCTTCCTGCACCGATGGAGCTGTGCCTTCTACCCTGGACAGGACGGTGATCGCCCACACCAAGGCCTTGGACCCCTCCCGGCCCGTGACCTTTGTGACCAACTCCAACTATGCCGCAGACCTGGGGGTGAGCCTGGGGGGGGTCTCCGCACTGCTTCTCTCCTCGCCTGTCCTGATACTAATGTGTGCTGCTGGGAAGAACACGGAGCTGCCGAGTGGCCATCTCTGCAGACAGTCCTTGGGTGAGAGAACGCCAGCTCGCTTGCAGATGGGTGGCCCTACCTCCAAGAAGGCCTGGCTTAGCGAGCTGTGACCCAGTCTCAGTTTGGACTCTGATTTTTACATCTCAATTTATTATGCTCGTATGATAGCAAAGACTTACGGGAGCTTAGAGTCCATTTGGCCTGGTGTTTCTTACACCTGGGCTGATTGTCAGAAGCACTAAGGGAAGTTTTTTGAAAGTTCAGATCTCATGGTTCTGAGTTTCTGATTTAGCAAGTTCAGGGTAAGACCCCAAGTTTTTAAAAAAAAAAACCCTCAGGGATTCCAGTGATTAAGCAGCTTAGGGGACCACTGACCAGATCGCCTCCCAGATTGAGAATCAGAGATGGGTACACAGGCAGCTGATGGAAGAACTGGCTGCAGGCCAGCCCTTCCTCTGCACCCCGCAGGCTCTTGGCTCACTGACCTGGGCATGCAGCCCTTGGAAGTCGTGTGTTGAGCTGCACTGAAGCTGTGAAGCATGGGACAAAGGACGTGTCCTTGCCTAGGGAGTTGAAGGGAAATACTTGAAAGTGCTGTGGAAATCACCCAAAGAAAGAGCAAATGAGCAAACAGTCTGTGTGAGAAGGAGTGCTTGTGAATGCCACCGTTTATCGCAGTAGAGGGTGGCCTGGCAGCCCTGGGGGCCCTCACCACCTGGGGCGTGCCCTGTGGAACCCCACGGAGGCTGTGTTAGAAATAGCCTGGAGAGAGGCAGGCTTGGGTGTGCAGGGCTGAGTGGCCTTGCTTCCCTGTTCTGGGCTAGTGTAGACAGGGAAGACTGCCTGGGTGCCCTCCGCCTACACTCCTTGCCTGGTGGGATCTGTGACCATGAGCTGTGTCCACCCAAGCTGTCCCCAGCTTTCTCTTCCCACTTGTGTCTTCCTGCTGCTGATTTGGAGAGGGGCAAAGCCACATCAGTCCATGTGCAGGCTTTGGCGGTTAGCGTGTGCACTAGAAAACGTATTAGGTGACATCAGCCACCGGTCACAAACCTTTGCTGCGTAGCTTTGAGCACTGGTTTGTTGAGACTCGGGGCAGCCCTGTGCTGTCCTCTGGGCCACCCTTTCGGAAGGGGTCTCCAGCCTCTTCACTGCCCGTAGCACTCTCCCTCCCGCATGATGAGTCAGCGCTGCGAGGGGAAAACCATTCCTCCCTCAGGTGGGAGCACCTCTCCAGGGCAAGGCCAGGTCGGAGCACCAGCCAGGGTTACATGCTTGCTCTGTCTGGGTCCTTTCTTGGGTGTGTCCTACACGGGTGGGCTGATCTCAGGATCTAAGGCATTTTCTGTCCTCCTCTTTACTTCCCCGCCAGAAGAACCCCACAAACACGAGCGCCCCAGCGCGCGCAGTCTCGGTATGACTGGCCTTAATGCTCTTGCCCTAGGCGCCGTATGTGGACGTGATCTGCGTGAACAGCTACTACTCCTGGTATCACGACTACGGGCACCTGGAGGTCATCCCGCTGCAGCTAGAGACCCAGTTCGAGAACTGGTACAGGACCTACCAGAAGCCAATTATCCAGAGCGAGTATGGCGCAGAAACCATCGTGGGGTTTCACGAGGTAAGCAGCGTGGAACATTGTTTATTCTGCTCACCTCCCTGCCACTGTCCACACTCGCTGCTGCCCCAGTAGTCAGGCCTCTGCCTCGCTTCCTCGATCCTCAGAGACCTTCTTGCTGGCCTTGTTTCCAGACAGACTCCTACCAGCTGGCCCGCAGTCACTGTCCTTTGTGCTCGGCCTTCCCCCAGGCTGCCATCCCCTCTCCCTTCACTCCTGGACACGGGACTGTTCCCGCTGTGCCCGTGTTCCTCTCTTGTCGGGGCTGCTCCTCTGCCTAAAGGCCATGTAAGCGGCATAGTTGCCAACGAAAATATCCTGAGGGCTCAGGTCTCGGCGTCGCTGTCCGCTCTTTGGGAAGATTGGCCCCACCTGTCCCTGGAAGGAAGCCGTTCCCTCTGCTCTGCTTCCGCAGCAGCTTGTACCTGTCTGTCTCAGCTTCTCATGTGACTGGAGATTTTCTTTGGCTTTCTCCTGGACCAGACTATGGGCTCTGGGAGAGGGGACAGTCCTACTTATCATTGCTTTCCAGGCTCTCCGACATACAGCAGGTGCTAAACCACAGTAATTGGGGAGCAAGTGAAATGTTGGAGCGAAGTTGACTGACCAGCTTTGTTCTCATTTTTTACCTAACCCTACACTGCTTTGTCTTAGGATCTTCTTCGTGTGCAGTCATGAACCACAGTCAGCTCTTCATCCCCACGCCAACCACCTCACATGTGCGGTCATGACTACTGAGATGCCTGGTTGACACACACTTCTTCCCTTTTTTTTTTTTTTTAAGAGAGATCTTTTGCTCTAGGGCACGTGCGCTTGCCACAGAGACAGATAGACAGAAAGCAAGACATCACCCCCCAGGGAAGATGGCCATGCTGTAGTGCTTTCTCCTCCATTCTCCTCTTGGGATTTTGGGCATGCATCCATACCCACCCAGCGTGAGTTACAAGCCACTAGGTTCAGAACTAGAACTGCGGTTGACCATGTGGGAGTCAGCAATGTAGACATTACACCATCTGCTGGTCCCAACACACTTCTTAATGTGCTCACCCTCTCGATACTGAACAGCTCCCCACGCGGGACTGTGCCATTTTGTTTGCACCCTCAAATTCATCTCGCTCATACAAAGTGCCACTTCTTCAAACTAGGAAAGTGAGTACAATTATCTCATGGGTACGCACATTTCTCTCCCTCTTTGAAAAGGTAACCAACACTAAAATTGTAAGAAACTAAGTCCGTACTGAGTCTGAGTCAGTACGGACAGAACTTGGGAATGACGGGAATGTTCTGACTGCACTGTCCAAAATAGTCTTGCTTTCTGTCCTGTTCTAGCCATCTGTGGCTACTGAGGACTTGAAATGTGACTAATATGGGCCTCGTGCCATAGCATTCAGTACTGTGCACAGGGAGCCAGATCCCACATGGCTGACTGTGGTTCAAATCTCAGCCCAGGAGCTTGAAAAATACACTGGGTACGTGTATATTCATGCCCCAAATCCTGTTGATACAGAGAAATGGAAGAAAAGGTTGCAGTGTGGGCATGGCCCATTAGAGGGCGCTTTCTCTCTCTCTCTCTCTCTCTCTCTCTATTTCTCTCTCTCTCCCTCCCTCCCTCCCAAGTACACACACTCTCTAGCAATTAAAACTGCAACTAGTGGGACCAGCAGATAGCATAATGTTTACGTCATTAGACTCCCACATAGTCAACCACAGTTCGAGTCCCAGACCTGGCAGCTTAAACTCACACCAGGCACATGTGAGTGCGTGCCCAAAGTCCCGAGAAGACAATGGAGGAGATGGGATTGTGGTGTGGCCATCCCCTGTGGGGGATGATTTCTTGCTTTCTGTCTCTCTCTGACTCTCTGGCGAGCACACATGTAGCAAAAATCTCTCTCTTAAAAAAAATGTGATTAGTATGAGTTAATTTAATTTTAATTTTAAATTAAAATAGCCACATGTGACTAGTGGCTACGGTATTAGATGGGGCAGATTCCTTTCCATTTAAAATCTACATCTTGTCCTATCCTGTCGTCAAACTCAGCTTTGGGATTGGACTGAAACATGGCTCTGTTGTGCACTGATATTCTCAGAGCATCTTGTGCAGCACTTGGGTCATTCTCATTGGAAAAGAAAGTCAAAGCCAGCGGGGATTTATTCTCTTCTAAAATGACCAAAATGCTACATCCTTGAACATTTAGGATTTTAGCCTCCAGAAAATGCCCATGAGGTGAAAACTCAGACTGTATATTCCAAGAACATCTTTCCTTTTTCTTTTAAATTGCCAGAGGGGGTGTGTGATCATGGGGTGGGGTGGGGAGAGAGAAAAGCACCCCCCAGTGAGGCATGATCACACTGTTATCCCTTCCCCCCATTTCTCTATCCTGTATCCTATCAGGATTTGGAGCACACAGACACACACATACATGCCTGGTGTCTCAAGATGTTAGGGCCAGGACTTGAACTGCAGTCAGACACATGGGATCTGGCCTCTCTTAACCACTAGGCTATGGGACCAGCCCCCAAATACATATTCTGTATTGTGTCTTGCACTTACCTAAATGCTGGTGAATCCACAGATGTGGCTGGCCTTCTGCTTCTGTTGTGGACAGCCTCCTCACACCTGGCAGGACCCAGCTTAACTACTGAGGGAAGTTTCCTGCGGCCCACGACTCAGTTAGATCCCCCTGCTAACCGTGACCAGCTCTTCCTCTGCACGTTCCGTGTCCCCCTCACTGTACTTAGTGCTGTCTCTGCTAGGTTGTAAACCCTGGGAGGGCAGGGACGTGTCTTACCACTGTCTCCAGTGCCTGTCACATACTTGTTACTCAGACCAGCGCCTGATGAATCTAAGGCAGGTTAGATCTGAGTTATGTTAGTTCCTGAGTTATGTCCTGGAAAGCTCCTAAAACTTAAGGCAAAGACATATTTTTACTTCCAGTGTTGTTCAGCTTTAAGATTGCATTGGTAGGTAGAATTAGAACAATAAGATGAAGCAAATAGCAAATTATGTTTATAAATAAAGAAGTCACTAATTACCTCTTTCTCTCTGAGTTACAACATCCCCTGGCTTTCTCCATACCAGCATCGGCGAGTCCTGGTCACTCCAGCCCACTGTGAGGACGCATATTTTGGTTGTCATCAAGTGGATCTTTACTTTTATCTAACGTTACAATCCTGCCAGTTCTTGACTTTTTGCTTTGCTTTGAATCCAGGATCCACCTCTTATGTTCAGTGAAGAGTACCAAAAAAGTCTACTCGCGCAGTATCATTTGGTTCTGGATAAAAAACGCAAGCAATACGTGGTTGGAGAGCTCATCTGGAATTTTGCCGACTTTATGACTAACCAGTGTAAGTGCCCTTGGTTCACAGAACGCATCATTCCTGACTTCATCAGGTTGACTCTTTTATTCTGGACATTTGGTCATATGGAAACTGGAAATAGCAGGGGGAAGTCTGATCTAGTCAGTGTAGCTGCCTACATTTCCTAGAAGTAGGTTGTGCTTAGCAAGCAACAAAGCAGTCACGTGCAGCTTCCTGGTCACTTTATAGTGAAGATCGAATGGGAGAGCTGCCACCTTGAGGCAAAAGTGACGAGCTTGCCTTGTCTATTCTACAGTCCTGAGGAAAAACCAGGCCTCGTCTTGGGCTTACTTTTGGGATACATTCCTTATTCCAGAGTAGTGTACAAAGCCTGTGACACTTAGGATATTTCAGTCTGTTCAGTCATTCACTTGTAAAAGGCAGGTTCGCCAACTACAGATAAGGTCCAAAGCACCTCCAATGTGGAAGTGCTTAAGGCTTCAAAGAGAATAGGAGCTGTACTTTCTCAAGTGCGGATGGCTGAGGACCCACGTCAGTGACATTTCAGATGAGTGTTCTCCATTTCTCCCTTCACTTCTTGACTCCTCATCTCACCGTAAACAGAATGGCAACTTGGGGGGTGGTTGGGGAGAAATGCTAGTGGTGGGAATTACCATCTATTACCATGGGGACAAACAGACCTTTGAAAGGTTAAAGGTAGCTAAAAATTAGAATGGAAAGTGGGTTCTTGAGTGAATAAGGTGAGATGAAAGAGATCAAGAGAACGACAGCACGAACCTCTACCCTGCTTGGCAAATGAGGTTCACGACTTCCGGAACTATCCTGTTGGCAGTTTTGTAGATGGGTGCACTGGGTGTTTAGTAAGTTGGCTGTATAACCTTGGATAAGTCACTCAGCCTTTTCATAAGCCTGCAAGGTGGGGACACCACCTACCACTTCGCAGGCTGTCAGGATTTCATTTGAAGTGCCTGGCACAATGATTGGTATTTGTGCATCTTGAAAGGAAGGATTACCTTGAACTCTTTGTTGGGAAACGCTTCTTTCCATTTGGCTGTGGTTTTATTGGAGGCAGAGGGTGCCAAGCAGGACCGGTGCTATCAAGAATCCTCTGAAATGCTTTTTCCTTGTTTTTTAGCACCCCTGAGAGCAGTGGGGAATAGAAAGGGCATCTTCACTCGTCAAAGAAAGCCCAAAAGTGCAGCGTTCGTTTTGCGAGAGAGATACTGGAGACTTGCCAATGAAACCAGGTATCACCGTTCAGTAGTGAAGTCACAGTGTCTGGGAAACAGCCCGTTTACGTTTTAGAACAAGAACTACCCCTCTGCTGATGCTGCTTGTACTGGCCCACTCCGTCCCAAGTGAGGGGTGGCTTCCAAGGAGTCACAGAAAGTGCTCCCTGGATCGTTCCTGGCAGACCAGTTTGGGTCTGGATTTTGTGATCTTCTAGAAGGGAATGGTAGAGATGAAATAAAAGCTTTTCTCATTTGGAATAGAGTTGGCATGAAAGTGACCACCCATAAACTAAATGGTCTATACTTCTGAAAATATCTGAAATAGATTTTGTACACCGGGCTGTTTCCAGAACCTCAACTGTGTACAGACTCTGAGAAACTGCTGCCTACATCTGACCTATGTTAAGAGCTGCTGGCTAAGACTGCTTGCACAGGATAGCCCTACAGCCCCGGCCTGCCCAACCCAGCAAGTGAAAGCCAAAGACTTTCACAGCCGCTGGTAAACTCACAGGAGAGTCTAAGTCCTACATACATCAAGGCAGTTGTAGGTGTACCGTCCTGCCATGGTAATTAACAAGGTCTGCGTGGCAGTTTCCACACAAGCTGACAAACATAAGAAAGGTAAGCGCTGAAGAGGGTCCAGTTGGGACTTTGGCGGTAACCAGTTCCAGGATATTGTTCCAGCGTCCGCCATAGTCTAGTCTTGACAGAAATGGAGGAGCTGTAAAAGCCCACAATGGATGCCAGTAAGTGCCACAAGACCTCTTTAAATACGGTGCCTATTCCATGCCTCTGTACCTTTCCCAGAGGATGGTCTTTCCTTAAGGAATCTTTCCTCCTGCATCCAGAGTCTCTTACGCCAAGTAAGGTGCATTATTCCTAAGATCTGTGTATTCATCAACCCCAGTTTAAAGCTAAATGCTATGTAAAGATATCCCCTTTTTTGTCCAATCAAATGGAAGACAATGAACCAGTATGGTTCTCGATACAGAACTTGATTCACTTTCTTACATTAATTTCCATGTCTCAACATACCCCCTTTCTGCCTTCCTTTCAAGCCCCATGAAAGAAAGTACAGATATTTTAGCCTATTTTTAGTAAATGACTATAAGTCATTATTTAGAAATAAGAGTGTAGTTGGTTCAAAAATTCTAGGGGCTCCATGTTTCTTATTACCACTGAACTTGTTCTTTAAGGTTGTCAAGTTCCATGTTCCATTTTAATGTCGAAGAATAATATGTAACTCTGTAGTTGACAAGCATTAAATAAAATTAAACATAAACACTTAAATGTTTTACACATCAGGGGTGAGGTCCATTTATTTCGTAGGTCCTATGCTAAGGTTCTAGCATAGGACATGTTTGTTCTACTCAGTGTGTGGCTGAAGTATAACTCAGCTTTGAGACAGACTCAGCTTCCTTTTGCATGGTTACCTTTTTATTTTAAGAGAGATTTTTGCTGTAGGGCACATGCACTCACCAGAGAGACAGAAAGTAAGGAATCACTTCCCAGGAGAAGGGCCACAACTGCAATCCCTTCTCCATTCTCATCTCAGGATGCTGGACACACACGCCAAAGTGCCCGGTGTGAGTTTAAGTTGCTGGGTCCAGTAGTCGAACCACGGTGGGCTATATGGGAGAGTCCAGTGACTAACTATTACATCATCTGCTGGTCTCATGTGTGTTACATTTTTAGATGGCTGTAAGAATGGAGTGGCCCAGCCGAAGTAGTGTGCCCCAGGCGCTGCTGCTTTGTAGGCTACATGGGAGGACTGGGCTCGATTCCCAGCCCCCTAAAAAGCTGGGTGTAGTGGTACACACCTGTAGTCCCAGTATCTCTACAGGCTGAGGCAGGAGGATCACTACACAGCAAGACCCTGTCTAAAACTGAATAACACTCACTGGGACCAGCAGGTGGCGTGGTGGTTAAGGGCACTGGACTCCCACATGGCTGACCAAGGTTCAAGTCCCAGACCTGGTGGCTTGCTTTCTCACCTTCTCTCTCTCTCTCTCTCTCTCACACACACACACACACATATACTCTCACTGTGTCTCTCTCTGATTAGATTAAAAATAAATAAATAAATAATTCTTAAAAAAAAATACTGTAATGCTTATTAAAAAAAAAAATCACCACAAAACCCCCACATACCCAAATACACAAAGAATGGAGTAGTCAAGGTAAAATAAAGTTAGGGGAGTACAGCTGATTAATACTATGTTTATAGGACTGTAAACAACACCTTTCATCCTTAGTCCTTACGCACACTCATACCCATAAGAATTCTAAGGGACCAGCAATTAGCACAATGGCTATGTCGCTGGACTCCCATGTAGTCGACCGCGGTTCGCATCCCAGACCCGGTGGCTTAAACTCACACCGGGCGCGTGTGCGTGCCCAAGATCCCAAGAGGAGAATGGAGGAGAAGGGATTGCGGCATGGCCATCCCCTCTGGGGGATGATTTCTCGCTTTCTATCTCTCTGTCTCTGTCTGTCTGGCGACGCACCCTATAGCAAAAACCTCTCCCCCCCCAAAAAAAAAGAATTCTAAGAACTGGAACATCTAGGAACTCTGTATCTTCTATACGTTACATATAATTCAAGAAAAAACAGCCAACTCAGAACACCTATAGAAAAGAGGTTAGTGTCAACTTCAAGAATATAAAGCACTTACTAGGTCTAAAGAGTTCCGCTTCTTTTCTGGAAAGTAGTAAGAATGATGGCATCACAATTTCCACAGGTAACGTCTACATTTATTTTATACCAAAAAAGTTATGTGCAACAAATAAACATTCTTACATATTTACATTTGTTTTTATTTACCAGTTAGCAAAACGGTGTCCTATATCTCTGATAAAGAATATTTCTATCTCTATTAAAGGGGAATTCTGCCCAGTGAACTCCATTTGAAATCAGTGTTTACTCTGGAGCTTCAAGCACGAGTAATAAATATTTTTGATGGAACATACTATACAGATCATACACCTCATACTTAGGCCATGCTTAATACAGTTTTAGAACAAAACATTTCACCTTTACTGGGCTAGTTTTTGAAAAAAAAAAAAAAAAGTTTAGCCAAGTGTAGCCTGGACTCCCACCCCAACCCCTTTTGTGTTACTGAAGGGTAGTTCTCACAAGTTAGGAATCATAAGTGCTGCCTAAAATATCTGAATAGAAAAGTTCCACCAAGGCGTGTGTGTTGGGAGAATACATGAGGGCAAAAGTTGCATTTTTAGCAACATCTCCCCAAGCAGGTTACCAGAAATGACAGTGGGGTTTCTTCATTGGCATGTGTCTAATACTGATTTTAAAGACAAGATCTGCTGCCAGTGTTCACTGGCTTCAAGCCGTGGTACTGACCTGAGTTACTACGTAATTGCTGAAGAGTCTTTTAAAAGAAAAACAATTTAAACAAAAGCCAACAAACAGTATTAATTTCATTGTAGTCTTAGTCCTGTATCATACCTAATAGGTCCAGAGATCCCTATACCGAATAACAAGTCTTTGTTTCTTTGTATGAAAATAATCAACGCTTTCAACTTTCTTTAAAAGTAACGAATTTAAGGAGAGCCTACATATATCAAATAAAAGTAATTCCTGGCAGACAGCTGGTTAAACCTGCATTATTTCACCAGAAGTCTACCCTCAATGACAACAACTACCTGGAGTTGAAAAACCAAATGAAATTCTCCAAACCACTCAGGATTCCCTGGAGTTCATCATCTAACGCAAATTCTTTTATTTCTTCAAGTGATATTTAGGACTACAGAATGAGAGTCTTCATTTGTTACAAACCATTTCAAAAACATGAAGCATGGAATTATTGTTAAAAAAATTTTTTTTCCTAATCTGACCTTTGACATTAGTGGCTAGTAATGCTGTAGTGTTTAAATATTCACGTTAAAATTGTCATAACGATCTTCAAAATTTGTAACATGGTATTTTCCCCTTTTCTGGGTAGAAGAGAAATTATAGAGGAGAGCCTAACTTCTTCCAGGGCAAAAAATACTAACAGCACCCACCAGGATTGTTTGCTGAGATACTGGCGGTACAATACTGTTCTTCCAGGCAGCACGTGTTCATCTCTGTGAGAAAGGGGTATTCTACCGGGTCGTAGGAATGTGGCAAAACTTTTTATACAACTTAAAACAGTGGTTTTCCCCAAGGCATAGGAAAGCAAAGGAAAAACTCAAAGGGTCTGGCTGAACATTTTTATATGTTTTCTCATGGAAGAGCTGAAGACATTTGCAAGAAGGCAACATCAAGACAAGCTTTAACCATACTCTGCTGATTGGTACAAAATATGATGAAAACTATTTTAAATTGGGACACAAGGAATTTGTTTAGCACAACCAGCATTGTTTATACCACAGAAGTCTTAACCACTTCCACTGAAGCTTAGGAAAGAGAATCAGTAAACCACTCTGGTAAGCGGATGCACCACTACGGGTTGACCTCACCATACAGTTCTCACACAGGAGGACTTATTTTTCCATAAACACCAGACATCCAACCAATGCTTTTCTAGAGTTCTTTAACTATTGAAGAATACAAGAAAAATACATACGTAATAGGCATGGAAATATTCACATTCATGGGAAAACATACGCCCTGATGAAATCTGAATCAAGCTATCTTTTATGAAACTTGTTAAACTGGTTAAAAGTTGATTATAATTCAAATTTTATACCTGCCTTGAGTCAGGAGACCTACACTGCATCAAATATGAGAGTGAGTTGGAAATGACACAGTTGCTGACTATACATTTTAGTTTACAGAGCAGAGCCTGTCCCCCCTTCAAAAAGAGGGCAAATAAAGCAATCAAAAATGACCAGTCTAACTATTTTGAACATAATGATTAATCAGATTGGAAGTAAAAACACTGCTTCTACTTCTCAAGCTAAGGAATAAAATGATCATAGAGAACCTTTCTGTAGCATGCAAGTTTTCTACTTCCTGGTAAGAAAGGAAGGAAGGACACTTCTGCCCAAGTTCAACACGCAAAGTATTTGGTTTGAGATTTAAGACAGAAGGCACTTTTAACTTTCTGATATAAGATGTTAACCATAGAAACATACTGTCACAATTCCATTTGGGTTAATTCAAATCACTTGTAAAAACTCCCCACTGCATTTGTGTAGTTATTAGAAAGCTCAGTGACTTCATTACTGCTTTACCTTCAGCTGTTTCTACCTTCAGCAAACTGAGCAATGTGTCAGCTCCAAAGTTTACCAATCCAGTATCTGACTCTAAAACAATTAGTGACATCCAATTAGCGCAGAAAGAAACAACTGGGGAAACACTAAGGAGCTACCAAAGAGCAATCCTACCCTGGAGTGGCGAGGCTTATACTGGTTATTTCAAAGTTGTAATACTGTTTGGATGACTGGCACTGATGTTACAGAAACATATCTGAAAATTCAACTGTTTCTTTTAAGAGATCTTACCTAAAAATGCCATAATAATATTTCCAGCTTTTCTCCAAAGAAATATACCAATTTTCCCATCATCAGCATCCTGAGGGGCTTGGACTTTGAAGGTTCTGTAGGGTTAGCGTTGATCCAGTTTTATGACTAGACACAAACTTGACTTGCACATTCAAATTTAGTCTTCCTTTCAGAGGAGAGAGAGAAAAGGAAACCAACCACTCCACAATTTTTGCTGTCAATGCTGCACCCATGACTGTCAGCACTTCTCACAAGATGCTCTTGTGTGGGCTTACTATTTTCTCTATTTCATTGGTCAACGTTGAGCTGACAATTCTTCATTGCTATACTTCTACTAAACTGTACAGTAAATTCTGCAGGGATGGATCCAATATTTCTACCTTTATTTACAAATATCACATAAATGGATTCTAGTTGAATCTACATGTTTAAATCCATCAGCTAAAAACATATTACATATTGTAAACATGGCAATATTTAATACAGTATCTATTCTAAAATATTTTCATGTCATGATCACATTTGTTATACCTGAAAGTTGAATTTATACACATTAAAGAATTACTAGCAATGGTTGCTCACTTTACGATTGAGGGAAGGGGGCTCGGGCTACATTTTGTTATTTCAGAAACATCTTCAAAGTAAAGTTAAAGCTTGTCTTTGATTGGCTCGGCGTATCCTTTTTTTTTATCCATATTTATAATGAAGATTGACACAGTAAATAGCTAGGGCCCCTTCTAATTTACAGGATTTTTAAAAAATCAGTTTAAGATTCTTAGGGAAAGTGACTATTGTGAAGAATAACCAAAAAAAAAAAAAAAAAAAAAAAAGCTGCAAAATAAACTTAATGGAAAAAGAGACTGGAGACTGTCAGTTAAGAGTTCGCCCTGTTGTCAGTCTTGCTTGGGCTGCAGATGCCGTTTCCAGGCCTCGTTCAAGTAAACTAGTCGTTTGTAGTTGATGATGAGAAGAATGAAGTTCAGCACATATGTGACAACACAGATGATGCAAAACTCCTTCAGCACAAAGTACAGAATGTAGGCCAGGTACAAAGACCCTACCACAGAGACGATGGAGGACGTCATGAGGATTAAAGCTGCAACTGCACTTGCTGTCATGCCTGCAAGAGAAAAAAGACAGTGGGCTCGATCAGGCCTCGGCATTGGAAAGAAAGCGTCGAAGTTCAGGGGAACATTTTGTGGCTGGCTACACTTGATCTTACTGCAAAGCGGTGAAATTTCAGAATACAAACTACTAGTCTGTTTTGTTAGGATGACATAGGTTGGTTACCAGTTTTACAGCTGTGTTTTTGATTTCTCAGAATTTCATAAATATTGCTTGTTTCATAAACCAGCCCCGAGGATACATACAACACAAAGAAAATACAGTCTCTCAGCCACATTATGCAGTGAAGCTGCTCTGTAAAACTGAGCACCGGCTCTCCTCATGAATAAAGGAACATGAGCACCACCACCTTTTCTTCCAAGCTGTACACTTTGATGAGACCCTCCCTCTGGCTTTTCACTGCAGCTTCCCCATTTCTGGAAATTTGGTGTTCTACGTTTAGATCAAATTGATCAAAAATCCATAATGGGGGGCCAGCAGGTGGCATGGTGGTTAAAAGGCACTGGACTCCCACGTGGCCGACCGTGGTTTGAGTCCTGGACCTGGTAGCTTGCTTTCTCACTTTCTCTCAATCTCTCACTCTTGCTTTGTCCCTCTCTGGTCAAATTTATCTTTAAATAAATAAATTAATAAATAATTCTTTTAAAAAAATCATAATGGGAGATGACTATACCAGCATGCTGCTGAAGAAGGAAAAAGAAATTTTAATAAACATTTCAGAAAGAGCTCACTCTGACAGACAAGGAAAACCACATTTTGCCAGCAGCCACATGTGCGTCAAACCTGAGCAAGTAAATAAAAAGCCAAAACAAAAACCAGTTACTTGTGTGAGAGCCAGGCTTCTCAAGACAAAAATGTGTCTCAATTCTTGACTTTATTTTCACATGTGCTGTTTCGAACTCCCTATTATCAACAGTGTGGAGAACAGGTACATTTGTTTTCAAAGACAAGAAAAGCAGAGCATATTAAACTACTCTCCTACCCAACAGCTAATGGATAAGAAACAGGAAAAACTACAAATAGATGGTGGCAAGTTTAAAGAAAGGTGGAAACTTTTTAGGAGACTGAAATTCTATGCCTGTTGGCAAAAAAGGCAATGGGAAGATGCTTATGGGCACAGCACAGCCGCAGGGACCACACTGGCCCCGGGACTAGTCAGAACCAAACAGTGTTTTAATTAAGCTGTTCAAGACTAAGATGCTGCTGAGTTATTTCTTCCAGGAACCAGCAAGTCTAGCAAGTCACCTGTTTTCGTAAATAAATTTTACTGGAACCCAGCCACACTTGCTTATTTATGTAAGGTCTGTGGCTGTTTTCGCAATAAAAAGGCAGAGCTGAGCAGTTGCAGCAGCCAGCAGAGCCAAAACTATCTTCTGTCTGACCCTTTACTGAAAAAGTTTGCTGACTTCACCTACACATCTTAACTTTAAAAAAATGAATGCTGTCATCTTAACTTTCTCTGAGTTTCAAAACAACATGGGTAAGTTATTTTCTCTAAGTCTTTCTTTCTTCAACTATAAAACTGAAGTAATCAACTGAATCTCCTACGACTGCCAAGTGAGCTAATACAAAGCACCAAGAACGCTTTAGAAATACTGGCTATTAATGAAAGAGTATCATCATGTAACTTAGGATATAATCCCTAAAGGAATTAAAAGTGTCCCTGTAACTAAATAAATGATGGTATAATCATGCAATGGAATATTCTGCAGCTGTGAAAAAGAAAGAAGACACTTAATGTACTGACATGCGACAATCACCAAGATAGACCGGCTAAGCAAAATGAGTAAGATAAAGGCAAGCATGCTATAGAACACTGCATACAACTTCCGTCTTTTCTATTTTAAAAAGGAGGAAAATCAAGATGATACAGTTGTATTTTCTTGTATATGCATTTAAAAAAATCACTTGAACAAGTCAGGGCTGAGGGGCACTGGAATCTGGGCAAAGGGGACAGACAGGAGTGGACAGACTGTGTGCTGTACAGTGTTTTATATATTTTCTAAACTTCTGAACCATGTGAATACATTACCAATGAGAATTTAAAATGCTGTGTCTTTTTTTTAAAATAAAATAATTATTTTTCATCTAACTTTATGTATTTTAATTTGACGAGAGAGAGAGAGACAAAGAAAGCCTCCAGGTCTGGAACTCGAACCACGGTCGGCCATGTGGGAGTCCGGCATCCCCAACCACCACGCCACCTGCCAGCCCCAAAATGCTGTCTTAAACAGCGTAATGCTGTGTTAGATGAGTTCAAAGGTGACTCCAGTGATAAAGACACTGACATCACAAATGCAAGTAAAAAATCTAAAAAGAAATCATACAATGTGAATGGAAACAATGCATGCGATGCATATGATTTAAAATGCATATATATCAGAAAATTAACAAGTTAATAATAAAAGTAGAAATCTGTTTTACCTCTATCCCCCAAAATTAATATAGTCAAAGGAAAATTACTGCCTTGCATCTGGTCTTATACTTTATATTCTTCTCTAGAAATCCAACAAAACAGAAATATATTAACTAAAGTGAAATTTCTTCCTCCCACCCCTACCTCCAGTCCCTTTCCTATTATTTACATGCACATATACAAACATATTTATCCTGTACCAATTATACCACAAGATCAAGAAGAACATATTGATCTTTCCAGGATATTATATAGAGCTACTTTTCCCTTTGATGGCTACAAAATATTTACAAGTATGGATGTATTTATTCAGCTATTACCTATTGCTTAGCTACTTCCAATTTTTTACAATTTTTTTTGAGATTTTTTTTTTTTTGCTATAGCTGCGTGTGCACTCGCCAGAAAGACAGAGAGAGAGAGACAGAAAGTGAGAAATCACTCCCCAGGGTGATTACGGCCATGTCGCAATTCCTTCTCCATTCTCCTCTTGGGTTCTTGAGCACACACACACAAGCTCCTGGAGTTAGTTTAAGCCACCAGGTCTAGGACTTGAACTGCGGTCGACTACATGGGAGTCCAGCGACATAGCCATTAGCTAACTGCTGGTCCCTACAATTTTAAATTGTACTGCTATAAATATCCTTGTACATATACTTTTATAATTCTTTAGGATAAATATGTAGATATGGAACTAGGAAAACTGAATAGGAATACCGAGAAAAATTTACATTCACAATTTGTTTCATAGCAAATCAACCTCAAATAGAAAAGTTAAATATATTTTTAAAAATTATTTCTTTAATTTTTATTCATTCATTAATTTATTTTAATCTGACCAGAGAGAGACACAGAAAGAGAGGGAAAGTAAGAAAGCAAGCCAACAGGTCCGGGACTTGAACTGTGGTCAGCCATGTGGGAGTATCCAGCACCTTAACCACCACGCCATCCGCTGGCCCCCAGAATTAAATATATTTTTAATGAGTCAAAACACAGAAGAGCGGGCAGATAACAGAATGAAATGTTAACAAGTGGGATCAGCAGGTGGTGTGGCAGTTTAGGTGCTGAACTCCCCCATTTCCACATGGCTGACTGCAGTTGAGTCCCAGACCTGGTGGCTTGAAACTCATGCCGGGTACACCCGCATGTATGTGTGTCCCAAATCCCAGGAGAATGGAGGAGAAGGGATTGCACCGTGGCCATTCCCCCAGGGGGTGATTTCACATTATCTTTAGCTGTCTCTTTCTCTCTCTCTAACAAACATACCCTATGTCAAAAACCTTAAAAAATAAAAAATCTTAACAAGTGGGGCTGGCAGGTGGTGTGGTGTAGGTGCTGGACTCCCACAAAGCCAACTGTGGTTTGAGTCCCAGACCTGGCGGTTTGTTCTCACTTTCTCTCTCTCTCTCTCTATCTTTTTCTGAGTGAGTGCATGTGCCCTGCAGAAAATTAAAAATAAATAAATTAATTAAATGAATAATTCTTTTTAAAAAAGTTAACAAGTGAAATGCAAATGCAAAAACTGATGAGTTTAACTTGAAGAAAAATATAAAAACCTTTACAATAAAAATTCACAAAAATTAATGAAAAAATGATAAGTAGAAAAAAGTTCCTAAATAAATATAGCAATGGACTATTACCAGGATGTTATAACTAAATGGGCAATAAAAGGAAATTAAAATACAGTAAAATCGAGGCCAGCAGGTAGTGTGGTGCTGGATTCCCACATGACTGACTGCAGTTCAACATCCAGTACTTGGCAGCTTGCTTTCTCATTTTTCCTCTCTCTCACTCTGTCCCTCTCTGGTTAAATAAAAATAAGTAAATAAATAAAATAAAGTTAAAATTAATTATTTTTAAAAATACAGTAAAGTAAAAATAATGGCTACTAATATGAAACTTGAAATTTTACAGAAAAGATGTTTTGGGGCCAGCAGGTGGCATAATGGTTAAGGTGCTGGACTCTCACTTGGCTTATCGCGATTTGAGTCCTGGATCAAGCAGCTTGAAACTCATGCTAGGTATGTGTGTGTATGCCCAAAATCCCAAGAGGAGAACAGAGAAGAAGGGATTGTGGCATGGCCATCCCCCCCAGGGAATGATTTCTATTTTCTCTCTCTGTGTGTCTCTGGCAAGCAAGCACATGCACCCCATAGCAAAAATCTAAAAAAAAAAAAAAGTTAATTAGGGACCAGCGGACGGCATAATGGTTACATTGCTAACACTCCCACATGGCCAACAGCAATATGAATCCCGGACCCAGCAGCTTGAAACTCACGCTGGGTGCATGTGTGTGCATGCCCAAAATCCTGAGAGGAAAATGGAAGAGAAGGGACTGTGGTGTGGTCATCCCCCCAGGGAGGGAGGTGGCTTCTCATTTTCTGCCTCTCTCTATCTGTATGCACCATATAGCAACAATTCCTAACAAAAAATACATTCTTTAAAAAAAAAAAAAAAACAGGGAGCAGGACATCTAGCTTCTGAGTGGAACCCTAGTATCCCAAGCAGCAAAAGAAGAATTAAAAATGGGTGATGTTAAAAAAGGCAAGAAGACTTTTGTTCAGAAGCGTACCCTGTGCCACACCGTGGAAAAGGGAGGTAAGCACAGACTGGCCCAAATCCATGGTCTATTTGGGCGGAAGACAGGTCAGGCCCCTGGATTCTCTTCCACGGATGCCAACAGAAACAAAGGCATCACCTGGGGAGAGGATACACTGAGGGAGGACTTGGAGAATCCCAGGAAGTACATCCCTGGGACAAAAGATCTTTGCTGGCATTAAAAAGAAGTCTGAAAGAGCAGAGTTGATAGCTTACCTCAAAAAAGCTACTAATGAGTAATAGGTGGTCACTGCCTTATTCATGACAGAACAGAAATGTTTCACCTTTTTTACATATATCATATTTTTAAAAAGAATTATTGATTTATTTAATTCCATTTGTTATTATTGTTTTTTTTATTTGACCAGAGAGAGAGAAAGGGAAAGGGAGAGAGCAAGCCTCCAGGTCCAGGACGTGAATCATGGTTGGCCATGTGAAAATCCAGCACCTTTAACCACCACACCAGCTGAATGTACCATATTTTAATTGATCTCCTACATCAGAACTCAGATCATAAATGGCTGACAGGTTAAATTGGACAGTCCTGATTTAAGTAATACTGGCTTGTAGTTAGATTAATATTGTTGGGTTTTTAAAATTTTGATATAATTTCAGTTCAGTAAGTGCTATCACTATTTGCCCTTTCTAAAAATATAATTGGTAATTCACTAGTGACGCTCATCTTTCTACAAAGATGGTGAACCATCTCAAAACCTACTAGAGATTGTTCTTTTTTTATATTTAGGCTTATATATAACTGGTTATATGAATATATAAATGCTGGAGAAATCCCTTCACTTCTCAAAACCAAGCAGAATTGCCTGTGTTTTAATCTGTGTTCATTAACCCATTAAAGATAAGGTAGTGATGTCTACTTTATATATTTCGTCATTATTATGCCAATCCAGTTAGAATTCCCTGAATCCAAAACACTGCCTTTTACTTCCTGAAAGACATTTTGGTGTGGTTTGTGTATACTATCAATTTTATAAATGGTTTACAAGGTCAAATACTTCTGCAAGTCGATGTGACAAGATTTAATGACAAGTTAAATTTCATCTTTGAAGTCTATTATCTAAATCAGACTAAATTATATCTCAGGATTTTGAGACAACTGTTCAAAACCACATAGAAACTGAAGAACTATACATGTGTGATTGGTAATGGTGCTTTTACCAATTTATTAGAAGGATTAGAGTACAGGAGATACACCATCAGCATAGATTTGTAAACTATGCCATTATAAGACTTAAGATCATTAAAAGCCAAATGACAGATCAAAAAATAAAATTAAATAATAAAGACCAAGGGACTGGCAGGTAGCATGGTGGTTAACGGTGCTGAACTCACACATGGCTGATTTTGCTTCAAGTCCCAGACCTGGCAGCTTACTTTCTCACTTTCTCTCTCTGCCTCTGTCTCTCTGGTAAAAATTAAAAATAATAATAAATAAACTTAAATAATTCTCTAGAAAAACTCTTTTTTTAAAAAAATAAAGATCAATAAAACTCCAGGGAAACCAGACAACTGGGAAAAAGCAATTTGGTTATATTAAAATAAACAAAAAGAGGCCAGCAGGTGGTGTGGTACTTAAGCCGCTGGACTCCCACATGGTTAACCATGGTTTGAGTCCCAGACCTGGTGGCTTGAAAAATCACACTGGGTGTATGTACATGTGTGCCCAGAGTCCTGAGAGGAGAATGGAGGAAAAAGGACTGTAGGATAGCTATTCCTCCCTAGAGGATCATTTCTCACTTTCCCTCTATCTCTGTCTCTCTTCAGCAATTGCACACACTCTACAGCAAAAGAAAAAATATATATGTATGTGTACACACACACACATATATATATATACATATACATACACACACACACACACACACACACACACACACACATATATATATATATAAAAAATACAGAAACAATCTCTATGCTATTTCACTCAACCCCAGCCTGAAAATTTATTTTGTGGAAATAATTCAAAGAGGGAAGATGAGGGACTTTAAACAAAGCTGATCACTGGATATTATTTAGAACATTTTAAAAAATGGGAAACCAGGGTGGGAGGAATAAAAAAGGTGAAGCCTAGATGTCTACAATAACAAAACAGGACCACACTATCCAGAAACATAAGAGTTGATGTGAAATTATTTCAAAAGCATAAGATGATGGAAATAGCAAACAGAGGTGACAGAAGTATGAACGTAGCTTACTGTTAGTATTTTCTCAATTCCTAATATTTTTAAATAGCTAGAGTGTAAAAGGAAAAGTTTATACAGGGAAGACTGTTTGGAATAGCAATTTTCTTGAATGAGACTGGTTTTTCTGGGCCATTTGTGAGATGCTACTATCCATGGTTAAATACCAACTGACAGCTAAGTTCAACATTAGCATAATATAAATCATAGTGAATTGTTTTACAACACAAAAAAAGGTCCTACAAGCTAGTGCTTCTATCATTAACATATGTTTATATGCTTTAATATAAAGACACACTTCGGAGAAAGACAAAGTACTAAATGAAATACAACAAACTTATTTTTGTATTGCTATATACTTACCAAGTAATAACTGTAGTATATAAAATATAAGTCCAAAGACACTGTTTGGCTGGTTTAATACACCATCCTTTCCAAAAATGGAACCCAAAAGACCAAATCCTCGACCCCATCTGTAAAATAAGGAAAACCAGTAACCCTATATTTGAGTTTCCCTAGGGATTTTTTAAAACGTAAAATAGAAAATGCTATCCAATTCTAAAATTAACTAAGTTGCCAAATTTTTTAAACGTCCTGTGTTGAAAGAGTGATTTACCTCAAGGAAGGAAGCCAGTCATTAGATTTATATTTTGCATTTGATTAAAAATAAAGATCTAAAATCAGTGTATCCAATGTGCCAATATACCCATCTGAATCTCTAAATTGAAAATTTCTATATATTGTCTTCCAAAAGGTAGGACAAAGCACTCTTTCTCTGATGGCATTATTTGCAGGAGGAGGCCTCTCGGCCCCTCTTGAGTTAAGCCAGGGTTTCTAAACAGTGGTACCACTGACATCTCGGGGTACTTAGTGCTTTGTGATCGGCACTGTTCTGTTCATTACGGGGTGTGCAGCAGTGTCCACAGATGCTAGTAGCACTCCCACACCCCCAGCTGTGACCTCCAAAAATGTCTTTAGCTATTGCCACATCCTGTGAGGGGGCAAAACTGCCTCCCATTGAAAGCCATAAAGCTGCACTAGTTCTGCATTCAAAGTATGTACATTAAAAAGTTGTTCCCTGACAAATTTTACCAGGATATGCATTAGAAAACATTTCCTCGGAACATGTCAGAAATTGTAGGTCTTTCCTAGAATCAAATATCACTGAGACGTTATATGACCCATCATCCTTTATTATTTACAGTTTAACTTCAGATTTTGCATTTGACATTTTCAGAATCCCATTTTCTTATTAAAAAATAAAAAGGATCACCAAATTCTGATTTAATAAAACATGATACAAACAACAGACTATTATTTTGGATAAAAACTTCTGATGTTAAAACTTTAACTCTGAATGAAAGTGCTTTTTAAAATGCCAATAAGAAAACTACCAGTCATGATGTTAAGTCACACAAGAAGCACTTAATAAAACCTAGACTTGGGATCTGAAAGACAACCTGCCCAACTACCTAAAAACAAGGATAAATGATTATTAGTCACACTACTTTAATAGTGCTCAACGTTCAAGAAATTAGAGTAAAACCTCTTCAGAACAACAATGTTGGGAGATAATAACCTCAATGTTACAAGTGAGAGCGATGAAGATTTTTATTATTCAGTCACATATTTCTAAGAACACGATGTATCTTTTTTCTTCCAAGCTGCCAGAGAGTGTATGTATGTACCAGAGAGACAGAGAGAGAGAGAGAGAAGGAGGGAAGAAAGCACCCCACCCAGGGGGTGTGCACACACCACAATTCCTTCTCCTCCACTTCTCAATCCTGTAGGAACTTGGGACATGCATGCATGAGCACCCACTGTGCTTCTCAAGCAGCCAAGGCTAGGATTTGAACTGCAGATAACCATGTGGGATCCAGCTTTTTAAAATAATTCGACTTGACGGTAGCCCCTTAATTTATTTTTATTTATTTATTTATTTTTTATTTGCTATAAAGCATGTGTGGTTGCTGCATAGAGACAGGGAGAGGGAAAGTGAGAAAGAACCCCCTGGGGAGCTGGCCATGCCACAATCCCTTCTCCTATGATTTTGGGTATGCATGCACACACACACCTGGGGTGTTTTGTTTTGTTTTTGTTTTTATAAATACTTGTTTCTATTATTTATTATATAATTTGTTGTAGGGCACATGTACTTACCAGAGAAAGAAAGAGTGAAACATAAAATAAGCCACCAGGTCCAGGACTTGAACCATGGTCAGTCATGTGGGAGTCCAGGGAGCCCAGCACCTTAACCACCACACCACCCACTGGCCCCACCAGGCCACCAGGTCTGGGACTTGAATTATGTAGCTAGTCATGTGGGATCCAGCTGCCCTAACCACCAAGCCAATGGCTAGCCATATTCATTCTTTTCATTATAAATCAGTTAAGGAGCAAGCACTGTGCTAAATGCTGGAGATCCACGAGTGAACAGCTGGACAAGGCAGTGCCCTCACAGAGCTTATATGGAATTTATGTAAGAATAAACAGGTAAACTAACGAGTAAGTTACCTTCAGAAATGAGCACGCCTATTAACAGACCCACAGAAAAATGAGAGGTGGGCACTTTGGATCACTGCTTCTGAACATCTAAAAGTCCCACCACTTTGGGGTATTGTTAAAATGAAGATTTTCTGGGACTGGCAGGTGGTTTGGTGGTTAAGGATGCTGGATTCCCAGGTGGCCAACCACAGTTTGAGTCCTGGACCTGGTGCCCGGTGGCTTGCTTTCTTACTCACTCTCTCTCTCTGTCTCTCTGTCCCTAGTTGGTCAAATTAAATTTTGTTGCTAATAAATGTTCAATTATCTTTAAAAAATTTTTTCCATTCTATACTTTTTTATTTATTTATAAATGTTCAATTATCTTGCTTTTACCATTACATTGGGTTGTCAGTAAAGTCATGACTCATTTTTAGATAGAAAAACACAGAAAAATGTATCATTACTTTCCTGACAACTTAGTGTTTTAGGAGTGTTTTCCAATATAGTTACTGAAAAAAACTGCATAAATGGACCCATGCAGTATTCAAACCTATGTTGTTCAACTATATATACAATCATATATATTTAAATTAAATATGGGGGTGTGTCGATAGATATAGACAGACAGTAGGCTTTGGGGAATTATTCTTTATTGCTCAAATTTCTATGGGGAGAAATCTCATTTTAAGCAATACCTCTTGTCTCATCTCTTCACTTAGTTCTTAGGTCAATGAACAAAAATTTACTTGATTAATTAGTTTACAAAAAAGAACCAAACATCTTTGCATCAGACTCTTCTAGATTCTTTATCTATTGGCTTGTCGGAAAAGTCCTGACTTTTTAAAAATGTTTTTCTATGCAAAAATGAGTCATGACTTTTCTGACAACCCAGTATCTGAACAAAGCAGCATCCTATGTTAAACTTCTTTTTTTTATTGTGGTAAAAAATTAATAATATGAAATTTATCATCATCAGTGTATAATTCAGTAGTGTAAAGTAAATCCGCTTTGCTGTGAAACAGACGTCCAGAACCTTTTCATTCTGCAAAACTAAAACTCTGTTCCCATTAGACAATTCCCTTCCTCCCTAGCCGCTTGTTAACATTGTTCTACTTTTTTTGTAAGACCAGCATCACTCTGACATAAAACCAGGCAGAGCACATTACAAGAAAAACAAAAACTAAAGGTTAAAATATTCACAACACTACAGACCAATACCACCCATAAAAATAGACACAAAAATTATTTTTTTAAAAAGAATTATCTTATTTAACTTTATTTATTTATTTTAATTTGACCAGGGAGAGACAGAGAGAGAGAGTGAGAAAGCAAGCCGCCAGGTCTGGGACTCGAACCGCGGTCAGCCATGTGGGAGTTCAGCATCCTTAACCACCACACCACCTGCGGCCCCAACACAAAAATTGTTAATAAAATATTGTTAATCAAATTCAGCAATATATGGAAAGGATACGATACCATGAATAAGCGGGACTAATTCTAGAAATGCAAGGCTGGTTCAACATTCAAAAGTCTAGGGAACCAGCAGTTAGCGTAATGGCTATGTCGCTGGACTCCCCCGTAGTCGACCGCGGTTCGTGTCCCGGACCCGGTGGCTTAAAACTCACGCTGGGCACGTGTGCGTGCGTGCCCAAGATCCCGAGAGGAAAATGGAGGAGAAGGGATTGCGGCATGACCATCCCCCCTGGGGGGTGATTTCTCGCTTTCTGTCTCTATGTCTCTCTCTCTCTCTCTCTCTCTCTGTCTGGCGAGCGCACGCGCCCTACAGTGAAAAATCTCTCAAAAAAAAAAAAAAAAAAAAAAAAGGTCTATTAGTGGGGGTGCAGGGGCTGGACTCCCACATGGCCAACCACAGTTTGAATTCCAGACATGGTGGCTTCCTTTTTCACATTCCTTCTCCCCACCCCCCCACCACCCCGCTGTCCTTCTCTGTCTGGTCAAGTTAAAATAAAATAAATAAATGGATAAAGTTAAATAAAATAGTTCTTTAAAAAAAAAATGTATCATTGGGGCCAGCAGGTGATGTGGTGGATAAGGCACTGGATTCCCACATAGTCTACCGTGGTTTGCCCAGACCTGGTAGCTTTAATCACTCCAGGTGTGTGTGTATTTATGCCCAAAATCCCAAGAGAAGAATGGGGAAGAGACTGTGGTATGGCCATGTAATTTCTCACTTTCCCATTTTCTGTCTCTCTCTGGCATGCACATGTGCCCTATGACAAATACCTTTAAAAAAAAAAGTCTATCAGTATTATTTATCATATTAACAGACTGAACAAAATCCACATGATTATCTCAATAAATGGAGGCAATGTATTTAACAAAACACACTATCAGTTCATGATTTAAATAAATATACTACAAACTAGGAAGGAAAGGGATTTTCCTTGATCTCATAAAGGTAATCCAAAAACAAAAACAAGGGCCAGTCTATGACCTAGTGGTTAAGGGAGTCAGAGCCCACATGGCCAACATGGTTCCAGTTCTAGCCCTGGCACCTTAAAAACATGCTGGCGGATGTGTATGCCCCAAATCCTGCATGGGCCTGGGGGGGGTGATTTCTCTCTCTCTCTCTGTTTCTCTCTTTCTGGTGAGTACATATGCCCTACAGCAATTTTTTTTAAAAAATCACATATAAAGAGGCTTTGTAAAAATTATTTCTTCCTATGATAAAAGCAAAACAAGGATGTCTGCACTCACCACTCCTATTCAAAACTATACTCAAAGTCCTTGGAAGCAGGTAAAAAAACAAACTACCTACCTAACACACACATACAGGTTAAAAAAAATAAATAAATAAATAAAAAAGGAAAACTGTTTGATGGCCAACTTATTGCTATGTAGGAAAACTAAGTTACAGATAATGGCCAGACCACATATAAATACAGAATTTTGACCTACAACTTCTGCAGCAACCAGTCAAAGAAGCCAAACCACAACTTCTGTAGCAATTGCTCCCAAACGGCCAAGACTTGATCAATAACGGCCAGCTTCCCTAATTTTTGCTCTGCTCCTATTTAGGATCAACCAGAGAAAGCCAAATATGCTACCCCAACCAAGCACACAGGATGGCCCACTTCCAGTTAGCTCCACTTCTAGGTTTTCCATGACAACTTCCAATCAGAGCAATCTGAAATCTCCCACTTTGTTCCTCTCTGAAGCTTTTATACTCCAGTTTTAGGTTTCCCTCTGAGGGAACTGCAAATGATGGTGGCTGAGAGCCTTGTAGGAAACACTGAAAAATAGCCTTTACTTTTTCTCATTAGGGTGATCTTCATTTTTCACAAAAAGAAAATACAGAAAAACTCCTAGAATAGAGAAGCAATTGAGTTTATAAGGTCACATGATAGTCAAT